GCAAAATGCACCCTTGCAGCATGACTCACTGGATCGCTGGGGCACGCCAACCATCACACTAGGTTAATGTCCAGTCTGGTTGCGATGGGCAATGTCGTATTCAGAGTCACGGACTTTAAGCATGGAAACAGTCATCAGCTTGAGTTCGGGGCTATTTCAGCAGCTCTTATGCCCATAAAAGGGCTATAGCAGTACGCGGGCACACAGTACCAAAACTGCTGCTATGCAACTTCGGTCACCGGCTGACATCCTTGGCATTGATTCCATTCAGCAAATTGGCTTCGTTCTTTTAAGACAGAGTACGTTCGGTACGATCTTATGATATAGCTGCATACATTATCGATTTACGTCCTAGCATGTTTGATGAATTAATGGGAAAGTTCTACGGGTATGCATATTTGTTCTTGGACGAGTTCACCATACATGTTGCTTTACCGGCTAGAAATGCTCCATTGGCTCTGCGCAAAAGATTTGTACCATAACTAGACCATCTTCCTTCATTAAGCGTTATAATTAAGGTCGAGGTTAAGGAGAATCAAAATACCTGACAGCGTTCGGCACATAGTTTGGGTGGTTCCGGTAGTTACTCTTGTTCTTTGAATGGAAAGTCCTTAGCGAAATATTCTAGAAATGTCGGGTACAAGAGTTGGACGATTTGCCGGGAGCTATTTGAGACGCAAATGAGGTGCTGGTTTTTTGGTAACACTCGAGAAGTGCAAGATCATTAGCTTCATACCGTTCTCCAACGTTGCGCAGATCATCAGCATCAACAACGGCAGCACGTTAACCATTCGAACTGATGTATTCCTTCCGAACAAGGTACAAGGAGGAGAGCTATTAGACATTCATTTATTGTGAACGACCTTGACAGCTATCCTTTACTCCGCCTATTTTCTATTTCTTGACTGTTGTTTAAACGCTCTACTAGGCTAGCCCGATTGGTACATCCACGTCATTGTTGATGGACGCTCATCGTCATGTCCTTCTCAGCAGCGCCATTTGCAAGAACATATTCTATTGGTTTTTTCTTCTCGTCACTGTTCTACTTGGTTATGTTAAAGGAATATTTAGTTGTCACACAATTATTGTGCTAGTTTTCAACTTTTGCGTCTGCATTCCTTATTCTCGTTTGTTTCGTGACTTTTGTTTAAACGTTTCACTTCGTCATTCTGATTGGCCAGTGCCCGTCACTGTAAATGGACATTCGCTTTACGCTTGGAGTCCCATGTTGCTATCTTTAAGGACATATGCGATTCGCGCTTGAGTACACGGTTGCTTATTCGTCGTTGCATTTGACGTTTTTTCTTCTGTTGGTTGGCTCAAGTGTACTTTAGTATCTTCCCTTCATTTTGCCCGCAAACTATTTAAACAACTGTGGTTTCATGTATACAAGTCTCCTTCTGGCTCGTCTTGGACTTTTTCTTGCGGTCGTGGGGTGAAGGCGTCAGCGGCGACACAACACAAGGAAAGGACCTATGGAACGAAGAGTAATATGTGGGAGTGAAGGGGGGGTTAGCACAAATCCTTAAAGCCCCAAGCATTCAGGATCAAGACACCTGCGCTTTGTCAACAACATGGTGTCACAAACAGCTGGATATCGTGCAAAGCTAAAGTACGTTGCGTAGATCAAAAGATCAAACTGGAATGTGATGTCCAATCGAGCAGATGCTTGTGTTTCGCGGACACGTCTTGATTCCTGAGGATTTAAAGCCGAATCCAGAAAGTAAACGGAGGAAACCCAGAAGGTCGAAACGCCGGCGTCTGATGCTTTTCCAGACTAGCGTATGCCTGCTGATTGGTAGTGACTATGGCGAATTAGTTGAATAAAGGAAATGCCCAAGCGCACTAAATTGTGGGGAATCCGCCAGCTGAAGCGGATGATTAACTACTTCAGTCGCTTATTACCAATACTGGCAGAAGTGTTGACGTCTATACGCAAACTAACACATAAAGGCGAATGTTGGCGATGAGGTAACGCTTGATCACTGATGCTCCGGTCCTTGCTCATTTTGATTCAGTGCTATTGTATTCAAAACAGGATAGAGGCGATGCTGATGCAAAGCAGGCAACTATGAGTTTTTCGGAGCCTGAAAATGGAACTGAGTTCCGCTTCGCGCAACTAGAAAAAAATGCTTGCTTTGGGGCGTTTCAATGAATACGCTCTCGTGTTGCCAAATACATTGTTCACTGACCACAAATCTTTGGTGTTGATTGTCAAGAAGTCGCTTCATGTCGTGTGACGTCGCCTACAAAGAATGTTCATATGTCTCTTGAAATACGAGTTGGATATCATCTACAAACCTGGTTTGACAATGTGTATCGTTGACGTGGTATCAAATGTCTACCTTTCACATACATGTGGAGTAACGGTTAAACTAGACGCAGCCAACGCGAAACAACAACTCACTGCCATTGAAGAGCGTTCACAGTAGTTACAACGCACAGAAGAAGATGCTATATGCAAAATGTTGGAACAATATTCAACGGATGGGCGGTAGAAAAGAATTCGTTTGCATGATTGACGTCGTTTTTCTTTTCTTGTGATAAGTTCGTCTTGAAGGATGGTCTGATATTCAATGGTAAACGAAAATTATGCAGCAAACCAAGCGGGAAATGGCCCACATCTCACTTCCGGGAACTAACGACTTCAGAGTAAGTATTTTAGCCCAGAATGGTTAGTCATTTACGGGACTATGTATCGAATGACTTGGTCTGCAGGACATATGACGCTGGCCAAACGAAACAGCCAAAAACGCTTCGGGAGGTTCCGGAAAAACAGTGGAAGAAAGTGGATTTAAACTTATTCACGCACGATGGAAAACTAACTGACCACAGTGGACTATTTCACTGATTATTTTAAGGTTGATACACTGACCTAAACCAGTACTCAAGCCATAGTGAATAATCTGTGTTGTCCATTGTTGGATTTGTGTTTTCCCTATCAGACGCGGCATTCCCGAGGAAGTAGTTTCTGTTAACAGTCTACAATTCGCAAATGAGGAATTCCAAAACTTTAGCCCGATCTAGGATTTCGCTCACCATCTTACAAACCCTTATCACAGCCAGACGAATGGGAAGTTTGAAGCGGCAGCGAAGAAAACAAAAGATAAGTAGTAGAAGGAGCCTATACCACAATACCAAATCAGATATGTATGCATTTACAAAATTTGGTAAATGGGTAGCACACATTCGTCCAAAAAATGAGTAGGCGTCGTCCGTGGGCATCGATGGTCTTCACATACATTTGGCTGCAGTAACTGAAAATTCCTTTAACTTGTCGCTTACCAGGGTACAAGGTACGTCTAAAATGTTCGATAACTGAGCCCATATGTTAAAAACCGCGGGGGCTAGGATGACGGGCTCGCGCATACGTATCGCGAGAAACGTCAGCAAGCCCTCTGCTCGTGCAAATCACCGATGTGAATCAAGCTGATGGAGTCAGTGTGAGAAATCGTGCCATTACCAAATGGAGCGCAAAATGCAGCAACGGGTAAACAAGAAGTTTTGTACCAAATTGGGAAAAACGGCAACGGAGATTCATGAAATATTAGTGCAAACGTACGGTATTGGAGCAGTGAGTAAACTGTGCGTCTGAGTAGTTTAAAGACAAAAAGGAAGCTTCCGAAACTCAGCGGCTTTCGGGTCGATCGTCAACAAGCGTAATCCCAGATAACACCAAACGAGTGTGACAGATGTTTGCGGATGATCGGCGACTGTCTTTGAGAATGATATGATAAGCGTTAAAGATAAACAAACAGTATTGTTTATAAACATTTAAAAGCTAGATATTTGTGCTCGGTTTGTACCGCACATCGGAGTGGGGCGGTGAAATTTCCTCGACAACAACGCCAGTCCGCACACTGTAATCCGTGTTAGCAACTTTCTCGCTTAACGCTAGGTGACTGTTCTTCAGCACTTTCCTTATTCTCCAGCTTTGATGTCGGTAGACTTCTTTTTTTTCTCCGCCTTAAATTATCCACGAAAGCCTTAGCTTCACATACGTTGCAGATATCCAGCAACACGTGACTACGGTGCATCGAACGATCCCACAAGAATCGTTTGCCTACAGTTTCCAACAACTCTAAAGCACATGTCAGATGTGCGTTTTATCTAATTGTGATTATTTTGAAGTTCAATAAAGGTATTTTGTTTGTAACTCATGTCTGCTTTATTTTCTGAGATCATACGCCCAACATTTCGGATGCACCTTATATTAAAGTAGACTTGTGAGGCTGATAATCATTACGAGGCTGTTGCTATCATCGTGCTTCGGGTTGAACTCGTAACCGCGTGGGTGCAGTGAGGCCGTTATATGAGAGAAGCCACGTTCAAGTTGTTCCTTACTCTATCATCGCTTGGTGTGGATGCAAGCGAAATTCTTTAATGAGTCCTATTTGGGTTATTTGTGTTTCTGCTATACCGAGCTGATGACTATGCGTATGTTTACAGAATTCTTCGCATACAGATGAGCTTATAGATTATCCCCAGCCCTCGATGTTTCTCCCGGAGCCAGGATTCCTAGCTAGAGTCAAACCACCAACTAGCCATCTTTGTGCACATGAATGACCTTCCGACCTAGCTGGAAAATACACGAGAGGTCTCAGCGATTTACCTCGCCTCACTTGAAGGACACAGTTAGTGTCTGTAGCGTTAAAGTTAAACCTTCATAAGTTGACCACTGAAGGGACTGGACCAGAGTGGTCAACATATAGGGATTTTGATCCATAAGGTTTACATAGTGAACGTTCAAGCAATGATAAAAGCAGGCAACTTAGTGAGGTGGTCAGGAGATAGTGCTGTTCGACTTCGGAAGTGTACTGTAGAATGAAGCCGAAGCAAACACAAAAAGTGTCACATCAAGTAATGTCCCTGATTACAGCGATGATAAGTTCGAATCCACCAAAAAACCAGGTAGCTTCACTCCAACGCAGTTGTTCTCTAGTGGTGTTCACATGAGCAGAAATGTCGAAAGTGCTAGGAACGAAGCAAATGAATTTTACCTTGGGGTGTAGATCGAAGTGCAGCCTTGCACACCTCCTTTATATGCTGTCGAATACGATGGATGTGCTGACCAAGGGTTGCAATCTAAAGCAAAATGGAGTGCAGTTGTAATGTAGGAGTTATTGTCAAATATTACACAAAACGAAGTCACAATTGGACAAATTCCAAGCAAGCGGTCTCCCACAATGTATAGTTAACGCCTTAGTGAAAGGATTTACTCTTCCGCGAGTTAACCATGTTTCTGAAGGAAAATTCTGGAGGCTATAAAGCAACATCATAGTTAATGGAGGTCACGTATGTCACCGTCCTTAATCAAGGCCCAAGTCACAAAGTGACCGCCTTGAATCCCTACGGACTTGGAAGCGAATGAGGATTACTGATTAATCCGGATAGGGTGGCAAAAATGAATTTAACGACGACAACGATACGTCACCCAATCACTACTTGAAGTAGAGGCTTTAGTTTTATTTGTCGAAGCTGTGCTAGCGTAGGGCTATAGTAGAGTGATCGTTTGCAAGGCAGCGGAAAAGGAAGGAGTTAACTATCTAGCATTCTACGCTAGAGTCCTCGTTATCCACCTGCACACTATAAGCAGTTGTTTGTCATTGTGTGGTGTTGGAAAGATGCACGTTCCTTCATTCTGGTCTTGCACCATTTTCTATTCTTTAGTCCTATTGTTATTACTCATCAATATTAGGGCCCTATGGTTGCAGATCATTGAAGCACCGGCAAAAGTTGGCCAACTAATGCTGGGCACGCTGTGCCTATAACGGCACACCCAAGGTAAATTCTTCAAAAACCTTATTACTTCCTTGAAACTCGGATAACTCTTAGGAAATTTCAGAAACCCGATTGGCATCATGCATCCATCACATCTGAGCGATCGTAGCATCCAAAAGTCCAAATACCACTGGTTCATGTGTGAAATCCCAACGAATCCAGCTCTATTGTTCAACCTTGCTCGTTATCGTTCATTCGCTTATTTGCCGCCACCGCCGCCGCACAGGTCCGTTTTCATTGTACGTCCCTTGTGTAAAAAGTCGGTCCTTCAGGGATGAAGTTTAGTAATACCGCTTCAGTTGCGGGGAAGAGAACCTGTCCGCACGGATGCACATAGAGGCTCATGGACAGTAAACGTCAAAACAAAGGTTCAGGTAGCCGGTCAGCGCTAGCAATATGTGGATACATCAGTGTCAGAAATGGACTAAAGTCGGATGATGTTACCATTTCTCGCAGTCGGACAATATTCTGTGCGGAACAGTTTCCATCTAAACTTGTGGTCGTTGCAACGAGTAGCCATCTTATGAATAGTGATTTATTACGAGTTAAAAAATAAGTGCTTGACAAGCCCCTTTAGGGGGGTTAGAGTGAATGCTATAAAATCAAAAATTGTGTGAATCATCTATCGAGCATTTTCCGAGTTAAATACGTTGATACATAACAGTGTTAAGCAAAGAACGAATGCAAGCACACAGAGGAACACGGGGTGCAGTGATCGTGGACGTAAGGCATGGGAAAACTAGAATAAGATCTCTCACTCATGCATCGCCTCCTTGGGTTCGTGTGACACATAAATCCGAAAGAAGAGCATGATTAATATAATCCAAAATGGCGTAGTTTAGGTATCGAAGTGCTGGGAGATAAGAGAAACATCCAATCGTTTTTTTTGAAAAGGTCCACAATAGGGGAGGATACAACTGAGTCTGGGAGTGCGTTTCAGGATTGGCAAACCCGAAGGGAAAAGTAATTCATTCCATCGACCCTCTAGGCGGGCACATTGTTCAATCATTTCAGGCCGTTAGCTCTGAGCTTGGTGTTGTGGCTAAGTTGCAGCAAATGACGGCGCATCTAGTTGGGGTCACTCAATACCTGCTACACTACTAGGAGGTCACCGCGCAGCCTTCGGTAGCGTCCGCTAAAAGCTCCCAGCAACTTTAGCCTTCGATGGCAAGAGTTATTGCGTAGGCTTTTGAAATGCTTTGTTGTCATGCGTTGTGATGCCTCGAGCACCTCTAGGTCGCGCTTTAACCAAGGCTGCCAAGCTTGGATGGTGTATTCAACGTGAGGGCACACGTAGGAGTTGTGCCTCATCGGAAAGATGGATGAGTCAAATCCCCCGAATTTCCTTCACAGCATGCTGACGTTTTGGTTTCCTCTTTTCGCAGCGGCCTCGGACTGTTTTGATCAGTGGAGGTCGCTCTGTACTAGCCCACCGAGGTCAGGTTCCTGGGAGCTGCTCTGTAATCTGTGTTTCCCAAGTCAATACGCGTAGTCATGGCTATGACGTACTTGAAAAATGCGACATCTGTCTTCATTGAATAGTAGGGCATTCTGAACTGACAATATCGAAATGGTGTTAGGATCGCACTGGAGCTCTTCGGGGTCCACCGGTCCTCTGATCGCTCGCTATATTTTGACAACATCAGCGAAGGACAGGAAATCGGAAACAAATGATCACGCTAGTTCGTCTATAAAAAGCAGGAGTAAATGAGGCCCAAGTACCGAGCCTTGTGGTACACCGCACTCCACAACAATTTCTGCGGACAGAGATTCCCGGACTCACACCTCCAACCGACGTTCGTGTATAAAATTATTTATCCAACCTGGGATTGGGTCGCCAATGCCGTAGTTCCGAAGCTTGTGTCGGAGAATTAGATAGTCTAAGCGAACAACCGCTTTTGGGAAGTTCAGGTAGATGACGTTGGCTCCTGTTCCACCACACGGGTTGATTATTTCTATAAACACGGGATGATTACTCATACTCACAATGGAGGTAGTCGTTCAAATACAACCAACTACCGTCCCATAATCTTATTACCGGTTCTTTCAAAGGTCATGCGAGCTATTATTCCTAGTGCGGTAACCGCCTACTTGGAAGAATTTAACTATCTCCCACCGGAACGGCATGGATTCCGACGAAATCGATCGTGCACTACAAATCTACTGCTTCACGATCCAGCTGGACTAAAGTAGTAGACTGTGGCACAGGAGTTGATGTAGTCCTTCTCGACTTCTCAAAGGCGTTCGACCGGTTAGACCACAACATTCTGCGATTCAAACTCCGGACCTTTGATATCGGTGATCCTCTCCTAGAATGGATCAGAAGCTTTCTTCTACACCGGCGCCTGGAAGTACATGTGCGTGAATCGTTGTCAGATCCCATCCGAGTTAAATGCGGAGTACCACAGGGATCGGTATTAGGACCGCGATTATGTTTGACGTCTATAACGATATCACAAGCCTCCTAAGCTTGAACTGCCTGCTTTATGCCGAACGAAGGCTACAAATGCTTGGGGTCTTCAGCGGACAGTATTGGCGATTGCGCGGGAACCTCATTTTGACTTACCAAATTTTGAGCAATCACAACCACACGTTCCGCCACTTACTAGAGTCTAGTCACAACAGCAATTTGAGAGGCCACCATCTCAATCTGGCAGAGCAGCACAGGTGCTTGGAATGCCGTCGGAATTTCTTCTCCGTATGCGTTTGCCGCACGTGGAATGCCATACCGGAAGCTGTCATATTGTAGGGAGGCGGAAGGCAGCGCTTGCCCAAAGGACGGTTAGATCAGTAAAACGAAAGCGGACGAATAGAGAGACCGATGCAATTAGGGCGATTCGCTGGAGAAACCCAGACCCAATAGAACGGGACGAAAACGGGACAGGAGCGGCATCCGTGGGTGAGCCCGAGGCAGGCAAAGCAGGTGGAAAATTTGTTGAATACGCAATAAATCGGACAAAACCGCCGGTATCACATCGTCAAGAAACAACCCCGGGGAGAGTGACACACCCACGGTCAAGCAAAACGCACGCTATCGAACGACTCCGGGCTTGTCAGAATCGGAGGCGTGGAAGGGAAGATACACGGGCGAAACGGACATAGAAGATGCGTTCCCGTACGCCCGGAAGGAGCATAGAAGTGCCACGAGCGGAGGCCATAAGGGATGGTGCAGCGTGGGAAAGAAACCTGACGCACATTAATGAAATGTGCGCCTGTGTGAGTGGTGAGGTAGTGTGTGTGTGTGTTCGCGCCAATAAAAATCGTGCTTCATTGCCGCGTTGTTCTGTCGCTATAATATGTGCTCCCAGGCTGGCAGAATTCAAAGCCCGAGTTGACCGTGCAGTTATATCGCTGCACCATCATAAATGACCCAGTACCCATGGATACACACAAGGGTCTGAAAGAGACTTCACTGGCTGTCAAATCTCAGATTTCGTCCCACGTTTTTCACCTCCTGTACGTGTACACCAGAAGGAGACACGATTCGTACTAACATCCCATTTGCCGTCACTTCTTATGGATTTATCTTGGATTTACAGTCTACACTACATATACTTCAGTGAGTTTGCTAACAATATTTTTTATATTTTGTACTTTCACTATAACCATCCCACAGAACCTGTTAAGCATTAGCTTTTTTACCCGTATAAAACCTTTGTTCCGTTGTTCAGTCCAGTTATTTGCGTACAATTAAGAGGTTAACAGTGCATGAGTGCTTTTGACGGAAACCATGTTGCTGTGGGCCATAGTTTGCCAGACAATGCATTACCGCATCTGCAATTATTGATTCCATAACTTTGGAAAGCATATGAAGCACCGTTTTTGGACGGTAATTGGTTGGGTCAGTGAGGCTACCTCCCTTATGAATAGGAGTGATGACCTCACGCTTTCATACTGGTGGAATTTGCTTCTCCATTAGACAGCATTAACAGAAAAAGGCTAGTTTCTGCTAGAGCACTTGCTGCTGTCTGCAGAGCCTTCGGTCGAATGTTGTCGACTCCAAGAGAACTATGGATACGCAAGGACAACAAGAGCTTCAACTCCGCTTCTGCAGTGATGATGATGTTAGATAAATCTGAGGGCGCAGTAACAGAAACGAGGAGAATATTTGTACTCGTGACCTGCTGGAACGTTTAGGAGTAATGAAATCGTAAGTGATCGACTGCTTCCATTGCTGACCGCATGGACCCATCAGCAGTGCCCAGTGCTGGGATTCCGCGCTTCACCTTACGAAGGCCATCAACGTGCTTGTATAACAGTTTGCGGTTAGTGCGGAATCGCTTTACTAACGCCCGCTGATTCAT